ACAAATGAGGACAATGGAAGCAATCAAAATCAACAAAAGAACAATGATACGCAAGTGCTATAACAAGTCTCAGTTAGCTTAACGCAGTACATGTAGCAAGGTTTTTCTTTTACATTATATAATAAATAAAAAGAAAACAGATAGAATAGAAACAGAATAGAGCAAGCTAGAGTTAGTGGCCTTTTTTTGCTTTTGTTAATTGTATAATAAATAAAAAGAAAACAGAATACAAAAAGATTAGAAAAGCTAGTGTTAGTTTTTGTTTTAAGAATAGAATTAGAATAGAGAGTGCTAGAGTTAGAGGGTCAAATAAAGGTGGAACAGATTCTTGAAGATGGTTAAGGACTCAACTGCTGGGATTGAGTTGGGCAGGTCATTCCACCAGGAGGGAACAGTTAATGAAAAAGTCAGTGAAAGTGATTTTGTTTCTCTTTGAGATGGCACAATAATATGCCGTTCACTTGCAGAACGCAAGCTTCTAGAGGGCACATAACTCTGAAGTAATGAATTTAGGTAAAGGGGTGCAGAGCCAGTAGTGGTTTTGTAGGCAAACATTAATGCCTTGAATAGTTGGAGTTAAACTCTGCAGGAAAGTGGATCTCATGAGCCATATTTGAGGATCCCTGATTTAGGCCTATTTGCTTTTCAGAGGCTGATTAATAATGCTCCTTTCAGCCAAGTCCTTCTGATTCTGAAGTTGAGAGTGAGATAAAGGTGTGGTTGCGGAATTCAAATGAGACAGAGCAGGTGGACGAAAGGACCGCTATCACCGTCTGCTGACTATAGTTGAGAGACCTCGAGGGAAGAGTGAGCTTTGCCAATGAATAGCACACCAAAACACCCCAGGTAGCCAAAACGATTTGGCCCGATAATGGCCCAGATCCAGCAGGCCGGATGAAATAACTCGGCCCGGCTGCGGTTGCCAGACTCGGCATGGACATGGGATGAATGACGCCCCAGAATCGGCCCAAATACACTGGCCCGAGTCCGGCTGCCAAAACTGCCGGCATTGGGCCACAATCACGCCGACAAGAACTGAAACACTTAGCCGGTACTGGCCCGAGTCTAGGTACTGAAACTGAGCTGACACCACCAACATTGGGCCACAATCACACCGACGAGTGGCCCAATGCCGGTGGTGTCGGCTCAGTTTCAGTACCCAGACTTGGGCCAGTACTGGCTAAGTGTTTCAGTTCTTATACCATGGGTGCAGCAGGCGCAATGATATTACGCAGCGCCTGAAAATAGTCCCCAGCTAGGTAACTTCCAACGTGACCGGTTTGTGTAGTTGCAGAGTTGCAGCCGGCAAATTTTCAGGCGCTGCGTAATATCATTGTGCCTGCTGCACCCATGGTACGGCAGCAAAGTTCCTTGATTATTACGCCGGAATGAGAGTATAGTTCCTAGCCATATCGGCCTAGAAAATGGCAACTTTTCATTTTCCGTTGGTTTTAGTACACGATGTAACTACAGAGGAGTCAAGTTTTAAATAGGAAAAATATAGAAACTCTTTGGTCTTTTTTGAGCGAGATGCTAACGGTCTAATCAGATTCAATGATCTATGCTATAGCTGCAGCTAAAAGTGCTACCGCCAGACCCGGAGATCGGCTGAATGGATTAGAAAACGGTAAAACTAAACTGTTTAACTCTAGGGGAGTTGGAAAATGAGCCTATTTTCAAAAATAGTGGAGTGTTCCTTTAAGATTTATTTGTGGATCTCATTCTATTTCTTTTGTCAATGTTTAATTTTTATTAATCTCTTTACATTTATTTGTGGATCATAATCTATTTATTTGGAATTAAGCAACAATTCTATCTCCATACATTACATTACTTCTTGCTCAAAAAATCCATCTTGACAAGGTATTTATGTTTAAAGTTTTAAATGATTGTAAACAAACCATATAATATGTCAAAACCAAAGACAAGTGTATTAAGTTCTTGTAGTGTAAATACGGTTGCTAATTATGAAGTTTGGACAAAAACTTCTGGCAGTGCTTCTGGAAAAAAGAAACATTTTCGTGTATTTTATTTTTTTCACTGCACTGAATTTCATGGTGATTGTGAAACACAAAACACCTCGCTTGTATGATTTCATGGTGAAATTTATTATTTTTAGTGTTAACTCAGGTCTATTTTGACTATGAACAATGCACTGTGGCTTTAATTCAACGTGAGCAGCGCAGCAAAAATAGACCCAGTGCCGAAATGATCGCGGCATTGCCAGTTCTGCTCTGCTCCTCTACTACGTGCTGCCTCTGCATGTGGTTTGAATGCTCTAATCTGTTAAGATGGGCGGCGAAAAAATACGCAGCTATTTACGTGAAACTGGCCTAAGTGTCAAAACAAACAGCATGTGGTGTCAGTGATTCGCCTCTAGAGGCTGCTCTCGCTCTGCTATTTTTACCAATAACGGATTGTTCCAGCAACCTGCTATCAGTGCTGAATACAAGCCAATCAATCGGTCATCCTCTAGTACTGGTACTTGCTACTGAAATCATCACACGGTTTCTCTTAATTTTTCTTCTCGTTTCCTGTGTGAGTTCTTCTCGTTCATATGATCATATAAAAACATGTCCTTCAAAAACTCATTTGCATAAAGTGCTCTTATCTCAACTTGGCTGGACACTCCTTTCGCCAAATGTCATTGTCGCGTGTCATCAGCAGTTGACAGCTCTTCACTGAAATTGAACAGGATCATGTCACTTGTCACGGCGTGACCAATTCTTCAGTCTACAGTATCCCTGTATGGTGTCAATCTGAGCACTCTTCTACAGGTTATCCTGTAAGAAAACAGATTCACAGGAGGTAGGATTTTGAATAAACCGTGCTCTTAAATGCCTGTTGAAACAGTATTCTGAATGATAAAGGCTTGGACACAGAAACAGTATTCCTTACATCACAACTTACAATTTACAAACAAGAGGATTGTGATTTAAATATCACACTATTCAGGAAAACAAAAGTAATACTGGATCATGTGATTTATTTTTTTGCATGTAATTACAGACTATGGACTTTTTATTTTGCAGTTGAAAATTCACATTCATCTTCCTAAACAACTTGCACATCTAAAATGCATGCAGTAAGATTTATTAATCAGTTATTAAGAGTACTGGTTATTGCTGTCCCGACAAGCTCTTTGAATAAAGTTGCATTTTTAGTTTCCATATTATTTGTGATTTACTTTTTTTAAAGACATAATTTGTATTTTATTGTTTTTGACACCACCTCACCTGTGAACTTCTGTTTGCATGATAAAAAATGGTGAAAAAAATAAAGTTTTACAGTGTACATTTGCATAACATCCTGACTTGCTGTAACACCAAGTGATATATAAATTATATAATCAACAGAAATAATCATAATTACATAAAATATATAAATGTATTTATACAAATTTTATAATTGCTAGTAAATTTTACAAATAATTACAAGGGAGCAAGTAATAGATTGAATTAAATATGAAATTTTAACTGAAATTGTATTTTTTTTGTAAAAAATAAAATAAAATAATCTCCTATAATCTTTGTATTTAAAACGTATAATTATTTTACAGTGTAATGGAGTTCTTTTAAATCACACTACACAATAAAATTACATATATTGTTAAATCACCTGTAATACTTACATCCTGTTGTACTGGTGTAAAGTTCTTTTTACAATTGTAAACTGCACCAACAACAGCAGCAGCAACAGCAGCAGCAGCCACAAACAGAACAGCAAGAACTATTCCTGCAATAGCACCTGAAGACAAACTTGGATCTGAAACAATAAAGACAGATAGTGGTTATTACTGGATTTAAAAATACTGACCTGCATTTTAAAATTCCTCAAGGGAAAGTGCAATTATACTGACCAGTGACCGAAACATTGAAGCTTTTCACACTGGTGATGGCGATGCTGATGGTGTGCCGACGACGACGGCGAATGCTGAATCTGCTGCTAGTGATCTCCAGTTTATAAAGTCCAGAGTCTGTGGTTCTGGTGTTTGTGATGGTCAGAGATCCAGTCTGATGATCCAGCTTCAGTCTGTTTCTGAATCTCTCTTTGCACTGATCATCTGTACAGATCTCACTCTGATGGCCATTGATTTCAGCAATGAGAATGTCATTAAAATTCCACGTCATCACATTATTTGCTTTTCTTTCTACACCAGGATCTAAAGTGACAGATTCTCCCTCCTTCACTGACGTAATTTTATCTCGTTCAGCAGCAGGAACATCTGAAAAACAAACCAACAGCTGCTGGAGGATCGTTTTGCTGAAGAAAAACACTACACAATTATTAAACTGTTTTGATGGTGTAAACTACAAAATCAATTTTCATAGCAAATGTGTTTAATGTGATCTATATACTGTATATGAATATGAATGTGTATGTAATATTACAGCTGCACAATTAATAAAAAACCCACTGTAATTATTATGTAATTATTATAATCAACAATGTGGAGACACAAAGTAAACAAGAGATTCATTGTGCAGTGTACAGTGGTGGCCAAAATGATTAGAACACTGGTATTTTCAGCAGCTTAAAAATGGTTTTAAGTCAGTTATTTCTATCTTTTGCTGTAGTGTGTCAGTAGGAAATATCAGTTTACAGACAGACTCAATCCAGAAGAACTGTGGCAATGTCTCCAAGATGCTTCAAGAAACCTCCCTGCAAAGCTAGCTGAAAAACTATGTGCAAGTTCACAGAGGGCAAAAGCTGCTTTAAACGCAAAGGATGCTCACATCAAATGTTGATTTAACCCTTGTGTGACCTTTTGGACATTTTTGTCCTTTTCAGTTTAGTTTTTTTGATCATTTTGCCTGTGTTATTGCCAACTGCATACATTTTGGCACAGATGTGTATTTTTATTGGAATTTTACTATTTCACTTCCATTTCCTTTAATAAATCTGTTTTGCACTAGGTACAAAAAATGGTTTCCATTTGGCAGACACTTTAATCCAAAGTGACATCCACCCGTTTTTGCCAGGAAGAAAAGACACTCCCACAAAAAATTGTGATAGGCTCAACAGAAAACAAAAATCCAAGATGGTGGATGAGAGAAATGTTGATTGTAAATAAACTTTTAAAATTAAATACTGTATCGGTAAGTGTTAATAAGTTCAGTGGGATACATAATTGATTTTTCCCCCCCAATATTTGTATGTGCTTATATTTATTAGATTATTGCACCATTTCATTAACCCTTGTGCGACCTTTTGGACATTTTTGTCCTTTTCAGTTTTGTTTTTTTGATCATTTTGCCTGTGTTATTGCCAACTGCATGCATTTTGGCACAGGTGTGTATTTTTATTGGAATTTTACTATTTCACTTCCATTTCCTTTAATAAATCTGTTTTGCACTAGGTACAAAAAATTGTTCCTCTCAGGACCTTAAGGACAAAAATGTCCCCATTGAAACCCATTAAAATTGCTATTTTTAATCGCAGTGCCATTTAACTGTAAAATTATGCAATTTTTGTTAATAGGCTTTCATTCTGTTGGCAAGGCTTTAAAATTTTATTTTTTACTATTGTTTACCAGACGGTGCCATTTTTTCCAGTTTGGCCTATAAAGCAAATACTCGCTTAATTCCTGTTTTCTGCTTCTGCATATTATAGAGCCAATTGGATAAATAATGCAGCTATAATTGTGTGGGTGTGTTGGTATGGATGTCAGAGTGTGGTTTGTGTGTCAAAATAAAATGGTGTGTGTTCTTGTAAAATTTGACAGAGAAAAACTCTACTGCAAATCACAAATCCAACCACTGTGTGCACCAGCAGAGTTTTGCTGGCATCTAATGGGAAAAAGTTGGTACTGCGCCCAAACAAAATCTTACTGAAAGCTCATTTTTTGAGATATCAACCTCAAATTTGGAACACAACTTGTTTAGATTTATGGCTTCGATTTTCTAGCAATTTCTGGGTTCAACATGTTTTATAAAATATATATTTTATATTAAAAATTGCTCATAAATCATTTTCATAAACTTAGACCTCTATAATTTTTTTTTTGTTTCACTTTTTAAAGTTTTTTTTACTTCAACAATAATCTGCCATGGGTCTTCTTTAAAATGAGACCAAACTTAACTCTGTGCTCCCAAGCTTCAAATTTTTATGACAGTTGTTTTGACATGGACATTTTTGTCCACTATGGACCTATGTGAAACTTTTTTTAAGTGACGCACAAGGTTTAATTTAGTTAACAGAAGTTAATTGATAAAGAAAATCTATTTACATTATTTTTGACAGCATCCTGATTTTACAGCATTTTTACACAAGTGCCTAAAACTTTTAACAGTACTGTAGCTTCGCAGGTAAGTTTCTTGAAGCATCTTGGAGACTGTTACATGTGCATGTATTTTTATTATTATTTCCCTTTCATGGGAACTTCGAACTGCGTCCTCTAGGGGTCGCTATGGGGAACGCCTCGTCGTGACCCGTGTCTGAAGCATACAGACGGCGACAGCCATGACGTCACTACCGGTGCGGGTATATAGGGATGCACCGATACCGATACTGGTATCGGGCCCGATACTGAGCTCCTGTACTCGTTAAAATGCCCCGATACCAAACGCCGATACCACACAGCATGTGATAAGTGCCATATTCAGACAAAGAAACACCGACAACAGAACAACAGACAGCATCATTTGGATTAAAACTAAATCGTAAAAATAAGACCATTTATAGGGGCATTCACTATAAACAATTTATTTTCAACCTTAGGCAATACACGACTTTCTGGCGAAAGTGAAACTAACAGCCTGTGTGAAATGCGCTAGACTATTCTGCACCAGTACAAATACCTGCACGCGTTGCGTGTGTTTTGCTTGCTTGCTTGTTTCTGCATTATATGAGTGGCTTTGGAATATAAATCGCAGCACGTTTCAAATGAAAAAACGCGACTTCTATTTCTGAAAATATCACAGTTAGGAGATTTATAACGAGTGGTT